GACCTCGAGGAGGAGAGAGGTGAGTAAAGAGATAGGGAGCACTATCAAACTGTAAAATGAAGTTAAGGCTTAAGTTAATAATTCTACAACTGTTCATGATTACTGTGTAAGCATTTTAAATGTTTATTTTATTTAGATTAGGGTTCAAAATTTTAAGGTTAGTAAGAATGTTTTTTTTTTTTTTTTGAAAGATTACTCTAATGCTCTCCAAGGCTACATTTATTTTATTTTTATTTTTTTGTTGAAAATATAGAACAGTAATATTATTAAATATTATTACAATTATTACAAATAACTGTTTTCTATTTTAATATCTTTTAAAATGAATTTTTTATTTTCAGCAGTCATTACTTCAGTCTTTTGTGTCACATGATCCTTCAGAAATTCTAATTTTTAGATTTTTTTAGAATTCTTTGATGAATGGAAAGTTTAAAAGAACAGGATTTATTTGAAATATAAATATATTTTTTAATATTCTAAATGTCTTTACGGATCAATTTAATGTGTCCTTGCTGAACAAAAGTATTAATTTCTTTATATATATAAAAAATCATACTAACCCCAAATGTCTGATCAGTAGCGTACTTACTACTGAACAAATATTTCCCAAAAATATTATAATGCCATTAAATGAAAAACATAAGAAAAAAAATATATTCACTACGGAAATTTGCGTGGCTTTTCCTGCCCTGCGAATCATACATTTTTTGATTATGGTAGAATTGATCATTATTAAACATACCTGTTCTTTGTATACAATTACTGTTGTGTCTGTTATCAGTACAATACAAGACTAAAGCAACACAGTTATAAAGATTAGTTGTAGCGTTTCAATATTCCTTTCATACTACTACAAACATGAATCTGTAAGACCATCAGCCATTTTTAAAGTGGGGATACATGTCTCCTGTGCAGCCTGCCAAGAGGACTGGGCTGGGCATCTCTGTACTCTTCATCTGCCTCTAGGAGCTGCTGGGTGAGATAACTTGGGTACTGTAAATAGAAGAAAAGCAAATCAAATGAAATTCATTCAAACAAAAATCTTGAATTTGTTTTCTGCTCGTTTCTCCTTTATTTAAAATGACAGGATAATAATACTGAAAAACAATCAAAATCGCACACCTGGGTCTCTGTGGAGCATCTTGAAATCTGATTGACATTTGGCAGCGATCCTCCATAGTACGGGACCAAGTCTCCGGTTTGCCGAATTCTCTCAGCCTGAACCTGAAGAGGGAGCGGAAGCCCAATAATAGTAACAATAATAGCCATCCAACACTGAGTTAAACACACATCTCATCTGACTCTCCCAGACTGCCTTACCCTCAGGGGAACAAACGCCTGTTGCATCATAATTTAAAACAGACATTGTACCTGGGATTTACAGATCCCTCAGTCTGCAACACTAATGTCAAACAGACCCTAGATGAGTGACTGGCAAAGCTATTTATGTGCATTGACATAATCCATGTGGACCTGCTGGATCACAAGTCCATATACAGACGGTAAAATACTTCCTAAGTCCTATTTAGTCCCAACACATTTATCATGACCTTCTGATTTTGAAGAGTCTAAAAAAACGTATATGAAAGTACATCATGTCTTATAGCTTTTCAAACAGCTGTTGATCGAGTTACATGGCCAATTCAGATGTCTGTGTGCAAGCTCCATAAAACATCATAATTCAGTTACAACTACCATATTTAGTACATAAAATATTTCAAGGGTCTATTATTATGCATTATGAAGATTGCTGTCTCATAAAAGTCATGATCACGTGTAAACAGAGCCCTGTTTTTAATAAGTAACTGATTGATTTACAATATGCAAATGCAGAGATTGAAGTAACATTAGATCAAACCAAGTTAAAGAACAAAGAAATATGCATTTATTTACAGATTATTATTTCTTCTTCCCCACAATTGCCTGATGTAATTGTTACTTTATTGATTGCAACTTTCTGTTGGATCTTATGGACCAAGTTGGTCCATAGTTGGTTATCCAGTTAAAAATCTGTCCAGGAATAAGATACACATTTTTTATTGTTATTAATATTTTAAAAAAGGCATGCACGTGTGACTACCTATGCTCATTTAGCTGGGAAAACCAGGTTAATATATACCAAGAGAGCCGTTCCCAAACATAACTGTTTAAGTGTTTATAATAGTTTTTTTTTTTTTACTTTCTTATTGTTTTTTTGTTTGTGAAATCGAACTTCCCTGTACCTAAAGTTGTCCAGTTGTCAGGAATCAATAAAACAGACACTAATAAGACAAATAACATTTGAAAGTTGAATCACTTCCTTCCGCTGTAAACACATTATAACGGAATAATCCAGGTCAAATATATGACAACTGTCGTAAATGAGCCCGACGTGTCTTGAATTGAGTTAGACTCACCCTGATGGAAGTAATGTCCATCATAACCTCTCGGAAAGCGGCTGTGTCTTCAGCCTGTCGCTGGTTGTGCAGGGCTATTTTCTCGCTGAATTTACGCGGATGGCAGCTTCCAGGCGCCGGCCCTGCTCCGGGCCCCTGTCCGTGCCCTATTTGCCTAAGGCCCGCGCCTGACAAATGCATTATTCCGTCAAATAAGAGAAAGTAAGCTGCCTGACACGGCCAGAGTTCGATAAGTGACCCAAGAAAGCAAGACTTTTGACAACGGTGAGTAGTGCATTGTGGGTAATGCAGTCCTGAAGGCTGTAGTAAACATCGTTGCCAAGCTCATTCGTTATCTGTAATGCGGACACGCCCAACTACTGTCGAGAAGGAAAAAAACAACTGGTATTTCGGGAAACGTAGTTTATGCCAATTTAACAACTACAATGCGGACAGTTTGCATTTTTGTCGCCTGACTTTGTCGCATTGAAAATAAATAAATAAATAACTTTAAAACACTAGTATTGAAATACTTTCATACAGTTGCAATCATTTTAAAAAGTTTATAAATGAAACACAAATCAAACTTTTTATTAAGTTATGTTACATTAAAATGTTAAAACCTGAACAATATAAATTATATTTATTATTTTAATTTTATAATAATTCCCCCCTCAAAACACGTTTTTATTAAACAAAATTTATATAATTTTAACATTTTATTATATAATTTAATATTCAGTTATTTTAATTGATGCTCTCTGCAATACAGCAAACATTTTCAAATATTGTTTTAGACACTGGGAGCCATGGAGTCAAAAAGGTTGAAAGCCACTGTTTTTGATCCTTTGGCATTACATTTTATCATATTTTTTGTATAAATCGGCAGTTCACTAACGAAATTTAAAAATGAAAAAATATATTTACATTTTTCATATTAAATTCATATATAATTTTCTCAGATTATTTATTCACGATTTCAAACTGCTTTTATGAAATACTGATGAAAAATATTACATTCTCGAAGGACTACAAACGATCCGTCATAAAACTACAATTCCCATGTGACCGTCGTCCAGTGACGTCTCTTTGAAAGCCTGTAGATTTACTTCCGTTACGCGGCTGCTAACAGAACAGAACATGTCTGCAAAAAACATGGAGAAAGTTGAGCAAGCTACAAACAGAAAAAATATATCTCTGCCTATGTCGAGGGTGCGATTAATCATGAAAAGTTCTCCCGATGTGTCCTGTATTAACCAGGACGCTCTTTTCTTGACAACAAAAGCAACGGTAATTTGATGTGTTATTAATCAATAGTCAGTTGCCAGGTTATCTGCCTTATTTAGTTACTTTAGTTGTACACTGTTTTGGTTTTAGTCACTAGAAACATCTGTGATATCAGTTCGCTTTTAGTTTAAATACACATTCCCCATAGTTCTAATATCTCTTTTTATATATATAAAAAAATACTCCCACTGGTAAGAGTACAAAGGAAAGGCTCCGACAGTGTGTTTGTTTATCACTGACTTATGTTTTTACTAATGTGTGCCATTTTCATAATTTCCTCATAGGAGCTTTTTGTCCAGCACTTGGCTCTGTCCTCATATAAAAATGGTTCGGGTAAAGAGACAAACACACTGTCATACAGTGATCTGGCCAATGCAGCAGAGGAGTCGGAAACATTTCAGTTTTTAACCGGTGAGTCCTGGCCATTTGTGATGATGACAAACACTGTTCAGACTAAATCAGCTGGTGTGTAAACAGTTTTGTCTCTTCTATTTTTAGATATCCTTCCTAAGAAAATCTTGGCCAGAGAGTATCTGAAGTCACTGGAAGAAATGGAAAAAGATGCTGACAACCTGTAGTGATGTATAGCAAGTCGGAGGAAATCACTGTGAACTGGTCCTGACCACTTCCTCACTAAAACAGTGGATAAAATCATAGGGCATTGTCTTACAAATCAGGACATTTCGCCCAAAGAGTTGTACTTTTACACCTCTGTTGTTTTAGAGAGGTAATTTGCATGTTTTACTTAATGTAGTCTGTATGTTTTAGCACCCACTTACACTATGCCGTGTGTCAAAATGTCCAATAGCCGCTGCAGATTCACAACTGAACCACTGTGAGTACTGGAAACCAGGTTATATGGGGTTTTGTCATTCATCATTGATGTTTTATTACTGCTTGACACCATGATTTGTATGTTTAGGGAAGATCCAAACATGTATACAGTCCATTCCATTCAATGTGAAATCAGACGTTGCTCATGTCTACAAATTGAAAATGTTTTTCTCATGGTTTAAAATGTATCTTAGAGGTATATTTCATGGCTATGCTTTAACATTTTAACCACTGGGGATAAAAATGCATTTGATTAATACTTGACTCTGGACTGCAGCTGAAGATTTATATAGTGTACTGTATAGTTTTTAAATGCTTGAACAGTCAGAATTTTGTTTTTGAATAAATACTTTTGCTGATTATGTGTTCACTATAATCTTATTTTTAATATGACAATCAGTCAGAATCTATGACGTGCAAAACTTTTGAAAGTGAACTGTTGTGTTGTTTTTTATTACGTGTAATATAATTGTACCTTACATTCGTAGGGAACAGTATATAGTCTGGGGGTATAAAAATAAATTTTATTGCCATTAACTAATATTTATCCCATTTACTTAATGGAGTGGAAAAACAAGAGGAAAATACGCACCAAAAGAGAAATACAGGGTGCTGTTGGCATGCAATACATGGTCATACAAGTCTTGTGTGTTTGATAAAATGTAATAATAAAACATGCATTATATTATTTTCCACATGTGTAGATTGTGCTGCTCAAATGAAATTACTGGGGAAGTAGTTTGGCCAATTGAAGCTGCATAGTGTTCAAAGACCTCTCCAGATTGGCAAGATGTTTCTCTAGAAGAGCTGCTACTTGCTCCTTTTTAGCAATGGAGTCTTTCGTGTTGTCAATTTGCTCCTTCAGACTGAGAGAGAGAGAGAGAGAGAGAGAATTGATTCATTTGTTTCAAAATGTACAAATTTTCTGAATTTTGAATTTGAAGAAAACAACCTGTGATGACATTTTGCAATCATATGCGGCCTTTCCACTATCTCTGACATAGAGTGCAACAGTCAGATTCCAGGAAGTACATTTTCTCAACAGAGAAATTGATTTTTAACGATAACTTATAAACCTTTAAAGATGGTTTATGCTTTTGATGAAGTCATCAGCCTGCATCATTTCAACTTAAACATTAATGGCAGAATGTCTGGTGGCAAGATTACAGTACCCATGTTTCTGCAAGGAAATCTCCACGAATCACAAATCACGCTATGCAAATTCAGCCAAAGTTACTCTTTAAAAACATCTTGTTACACGCTAAGACTACTTATAGATTTATAGATAAAATTTGACTTCAAAACAAAAAGTTTATACTCGTAGCTGGTTGGTTTGTCTAATGGCTTAAAACTCTAACAAAGATGATTTTTTAAATCCTTGGGAAAATTAATTTTGGAAACAAGGCCACTGAACAAGTGGGTATGCACTGCACTCTATTTTTATTCACTCTATTTGTTGCATTTCATCCTATAGTGGCAGTTGTGTGAAACCTTCAATTTGGTCATTATCTTCCATCATGGTAAAATGAATGAATAATGAATGTATGAATATAACCACATAAAACAAATCACCACCAATACGTTGAAAATATTCATAACGGCCCATTTTACAGAAATAGTGTTTAAAGATTAACATTTTAGTGCAAAAATATTGGTCACTCACACATTGTGTCCATAGTTTTAAGTCTAGTCGCAAAGTTCAAATTTGCACCCGAACCTCAAAAAATTGAGCCTAAAAATTGGGTCTAAAAATTCTGTATATGTTCAGAATTCCACGCAGCTCCCATACTATTCGCCATCAGAAGACAATAACTTCCGGTTAGTCGTTTGTTGGAGATAGTAAAAAGGCAACTTCATAGTAAAATTCTGCTGAATATTTTATATCTCAGCCAAACATATCTTCCATGAAAACATTCAAAATTACTCAATTACCTTGAGAAGGTATAATGCTCTTTCCCCTCCTTCCTCTTCTCATCCAAATCCATGAACACCTTCTGTATTGTATCAGCCGTCTGGGCCACAACGAGATGGTCAGCCCGGACGCCCTGCATGTTCTCCCTGGCCTGTTGATCGTAGGACGCACCACCTTCCTCGAGACCACTAGATGTCGATACGGCCTGCAGTGACGCCCTGTTCTGCAGCACGAGAATGCGGGACTTCTCAAACTCCTCTGGGCCCGCTATATCATCCCAGCACACAGGGGAGGATGGAGGAAGCCAGAAGCGCTGAGTGCAGTTGGCCGGCCTGCCAGGTGTCTCTCTGACAAATGGACTATCAGCTGGAAAGCTGTTTAGGAGTTCGTGTAATCCAGAACCCCAGTTCCAGTCCAAATCCTCCAGCTCAATCTCCGTCACTATGCTGCCCGCTGGGTACCAGACAAACAGCAGGAAAAGGCACCAGGACAAACAAGTCCTTCTCATTCTGTCCTGGAGCAACAGCATACTGGTGATATTGGACAAACAGTAAACAGTATTGAAAGAATTAAGTGTCCTTGCGCTGTGTGAGCTTAGTGTGTGTGACTTTGTAAGCATATGATGCATATAAAAGGATCTTTGAAAAAATTATAAACTAGGCCTACATGTTGGGGTCGGTGCCAATAGCCTTGCGGGCAGCACGCCGACATACAGTGTCATTGTCTTATATTTAAATAAAAAGGCAAAAAAAACAAATCTTAAAAAAAATTTAAAAAAAAAACTACATTTTGGGGTTACACTACACTCTTAATGTTATATTAATATTTTTTTCTAGCATGCTGAATTATGAGAGGGCTGCACATTTATTAAAAACAGCATTTTCACAGATTAAAAAGTATGACATTTGTTAGTTTATGAAACATTTAGTCTCAAATTATTTGTATGTATAGAGTAGTAGTTCTCAAGTGGCCTCAGCAAACGGTCTTCAAAATAAATATATTTTTCAGTTTAGTAATTTTAAAGGGGTCATATGATGCGATTTCAATTTTTCCTTTCTCTTTGGAGTGTTACAAGCTCTTGGTGCGTAAAGAAGATCTGTAAAGTTGCAAAGACTAAAGTCTCAAATCCAAAGAGATATTCTTTATAAAAGTTAAGAGTCAACCACGCCTACCTAAAACGGCTCGTTCTAACACGCCCCCACATGTCTACGTCATGACCGATGAGCTTCCCAAAATGCTGATGAATTTTCAGACCGATGAGCTTTGTAAAAATCGACGCGTTTCAGAAAGGCGGGGCATAGAGCAGAAACAATAATGTACAGTATGTGGAAAATAATGTGTTTATTTAACCTTAAACCGCATAAACACATTTCATTACACCAAATAAATGTTCTTTTTAGCAACATATGACCTCTTTAACAATCTTAATTAAAACAGAAAGAAAACACTAAAAACACAACATAAATACCTATCAGATTACATAGGACGGCATACAAACGTCATATTTTTAATTTATTGCTTTTATTTAATACATTATTAAAGTATATTTATGATTATTGCATGCAGCAGGTGGTGTAAAATCTATTGGAATAATATTACGGTACCCGTTGTTTGTGTTGTTCTTGATGTTTTAGTATTAGACATCTGCTAAGTTCACTGTACCCTGTTTCCACCAAGAAACATTACAGACCCAAGACCCAAAATGGATCCCACGAATAGTTATTTATGTTTTCGATTATAGCAATAAATTGTAAAATAACGATTGCTTTCAAATACATTCCCTCAACATTCCTCCAGTTGGTCAGACAAACCATTACTATTATGTTGAGCTGATGCTCAAACAAAGCAATTTTTATAGTGCCAGAGAATATACACTTTTCTGGGGAATCAGACAAAACTTGCCTCTGCTGTTATGCTGGAACAGTAGAAAGTAGCATCGAAACAATGTGTACAGTGGGTACGGAAAGTATTCAGACCCCCTTAAATTTTTCACTCTTTGTTATATTGCAGCCATTTGCTCAAATCATTTAAGTTAATTTTTTTTCCTCATTAATGTACACACAGCACCCCATATTGACAGAAAAACACAGAATCATTGACATTTTTGCAGATTTATTAAAAAAGAAAAACTGAAATATCACATGGTCCTAAGTATTCAGACCCTTTGCTCAGTATTTAGTAGAAGCGCCCTTTTGATCTAATACAGCCATGAGTCTTTTTGGGAAAGATGCAACAAGTTAAAAATTTAAGGGGGTCTGAATACTTTCCTTACCCACTGTACATTACATGCATCGTTTTATTAGGTTAGTTTACTGTTCTCACTCACGACCGATCTAAAGTTAGTGTTATTGAAGGAAACAAACAAAAAATAAAGAAATATACAAACAACGCACATGGACGTAATTCTAACACTACTTTTTAATTTATGAATGGAATATATATTAACTTCTGACTTAATATTCCGTCGAATTCTGTCGCCGTTTATGAAACGTTCTTTCCACTGAAACGCTTTATGAGAAATTCCAATAAAACGGCGTTTTCGCTATTGAGCTTACAACTAACAAATGAAGCAAAAGCATTTAACACCTTAAAATGCTAAAACTTTTCAAAGTTTCAGATAAACTTACCTCACAGTCACGGACTATTACAGATCAGCAGGCAGAAAAGGAGCTCGCGCGCTTTTCATAAATGAGCTATTGGAAAATCTGACTCGCACTTCACAGCTCAACTCAAGAGCTGCTCAGCTTATTTGTCTAGATAAGCAAAGAAAAGCCTTTTATTTTCAGACAACAATAATACACTAAATAAACAACGGGCGTTGTACATAAAATGTGTCAAGAGTGGAGTAAAACAAAACAGACGTCTGAGATGTGGTTTTCCAGTTCCAGAGCTGTTATCAGCTGGAAGAGTGGCCGTGGCTCAATACCTAGTGAGCTGCCTATCTAGACAGCATTTTAGACATCATTTGGGCGCAGAATAACATTCTTTCTATAACACTGTGCAGATATGCACTAGGTTTTGAGACATGACCATTGTAAACTTTTTAAGGAGGGTTTCCTTGTCTGTGAATGTGACTTTTTTTTTCCTTTTGATGCTGAAGGGGGAAGGAGAGTCTGAGGCAGTCACAATTTATTTTTTAAAGATACAAGGATTGTCTTAAATAAGCTTAGTTTTGTACTGTAGTGTAAGAAGAGAGAGTAAACACCAATTTTGGCCTCAGGCAACATTGTTTTGAGGTTTGCAAGAATCCACACAATCTGCGTTTACTTACAGATGGTTGTTTGGCGATCTAGAAAACATAAGTGCAGAGGGATTTTAAAGGCCAATATGATCTCAGCAAACAGGAATGGAAAAAAAGCTGGCAAAAGCAGCAGACATTAGCAGAGGCCAGCATGTCCAAAAACATCATAGCTAGAAGTTAAAAATCTGGCATAAAACATTAAAAACACAAGACACGGCAGTCAGAGGAAATTAAGTTTATTAAATGATGCAATACACAGTCAAGCGAACGTGAGCTATATTAAATGATACGTTTTCACATTATGTCTTAGCAGGGTTTACAGCATATCTTGGTTTGTAATTGTTTTGTTTCGTTTTTTAAAAGAAAAGCTCACTTTACATCATCAAGAAACAACAACAAGGAGCTTAGCAGTGAATGCAAACACATGAATCAGAAAAGAAAGAATTCATGACAGGAATGACAGCAAATTTAATTTGGCATGTTATAAAGGAGCAAAGACAAGGTTAAATGAAAGATAAATTGCTTGATGTGAGAGGGAGGTTTGACACCACGATGCAGTGCAAGAAAGCCTTCGAATAGAAACTTTGTTCGCTTGGCTTTTCCATCACTAGCATGGACATGGTTTAAAAACAACAACAACAAGAGTGGCCTGGAATTTCAACTGCTTGTAATTTACTTATGAAACAAAAAAGAAAAAGAAAAGGAAAAGATGATTGTCAACTTACAGAGTACAATTTGGAGAAAAAAAAAGAGCCATCTGTCAGTTCCAGGACACTCCTACATTCTCAGGAGGTAGTTTTATGGCAAAAACGTATGGCCTGAATTGTAGTGACTTGCATGTTGTGGTTAATAGTGCATATTTTAAGGCCAGATATACTTTATGTTCCATCCATAAATGCAGTTCTAAGGCTACATTAAGACACAGGTGAGGGGCTTGAGGACGAGAGGCAATAGCAGATACAGCCCTTAATGGCAATACCTGAGTCAACTGTAACTTTTGACTGCAAGACGTCACTACATATCTAATAGTCATGATCAACTGAGCAAGGCTCAGTAATATTGTATTATGTCAGTGAATCTGTCAGAATTGCATTTGATGTGCAGAAGGTGCTTGCACAGCTTGCGGGCATCAAACCTCCCTATAGGGGAAATTGTTTGAAATGAGGTTCACAAAAGAACAATAAATGAAGTTTATGCAGCATTTATCAGGCTTATGAGGTACTTCACATCTATACACTTTATTTTTCGAAAAGACCAACAAGTCATATGGTTCCTTAGAATTCCTATTGTAGCAGAAAATACCTCGTCTTAAATAGTCTTAGTCTGTGTGCCCAATTACAACAGGGCATCCTTTAAAACTGCTTAGAAAGTGCAAAATACAAATACTGATCATTCTATGCAGCATTCACTCAAGGTTGCATGATAAATGTACAAATTATTCAGTGTGGCGCTGAGTATCAAATTAAAATGATAGTCCCTCGATCAGGGGTGGGAGAGATTTTAAAAAGGCACACATACGACAAAAAACGAAACAAAAACACGCTGCACGTTTTTAAGCTCACCGATGAAAAACAAGAATCTGAATGATTTCCATACAACCTGTTTGTACCTTAATATTTCTCTCTCAAGAAACTCAAATGTCAGTGTATTCGGATGTTTATACATCCTCAATCAGAGTCTGAGAGACATCAGATCCAAATTGAATTCCCTTCATAAAATGTAGCAAGGTAAATACACGTCAATTGCAATGAATAGCACTCCGAAGTCATACATGACAACGTTCAAATACAAATAGCTTATCGCAGACTTGTCATGGAACTTTCATCAAACAGATCAGGATCTAATGAGTGCGAAAACATCTTTATTGCAATACTGGATATAAATCAAGTAGTAGTTAGGACCATGTGATATTTCAGTTTTTCTTTTTTAATAAATCTGCAAAAATGTCAACAATTCTGTGTTTTTCTGTCAATATGGGGTGCTGTGTGTACATTAATGAGGAAAAAAAAATTAACTTAAATGATTTTAGCAAACGGCTGCAATATAACAAAGAGTGAAAAATTTAAGGGGGTCTGAATACTTTCCTTACCCACTGTACATTACATGCATCGTTTTATTAGGTTAGTTTACTGTTCTCACTCACGACCGATCTAAAGTTAGTGTTATTGAAGGAAACAAACAAAAAATAAAGAAATATACAAACAACGCACATGGACGTAATTCTAACACTACTTTTTAATTTATGAATGGAATATATATTAACTTCTGACTTAATATTCCGTCGAATTCTGTCGCCGTTTATGAAACGTTCTTTCCACTGAAACGCTTTATGAGAAATTCCAATAAAACGGCGTTTTCGCTATTGAGCTTACAACTAACAAATGAAGCAAAAGCATTTAACACCTTAAAATGCTAAAACTTTTCAAAGTTTCAGATAAACTTACCTCACAGTCACGGACTATTACAGATCAGCAGGCAGAAAAGGAGCTCGCGCGCTTTTCATAAATGAGCTATTGGAAAATCTGACTCGCACTTCACAGCTCAACTCAAGAGCTGCTCAGCTTATTTGTCTAGATAAGCAAAGAAAAGCCTTTTATTTTCAGACAACAATAATACACTAAATAAACAACGGGCGTTGTACATAAAATGTGTCAAGAGTGGAGTAAAACAAAACAGACGTCTGAGATGTGGTTTTCCAGTTCCAGAGCTGTTATCAGCTGGAAGAGTGGCCGTGGCTCAATACCTAGTGAGCTGCCTATCTAGACAGCATTTTAGACATCATTTGGGCGCAGAATAACATTCTTTCTATAACACTGTGCAGATATGCACTAGGTTTTGAGACATGACCATTGTAAACTTTTTAAGGAGGGTTTCCTTGTCTGTGAATGTGACTTTTTTTTTCCTTTTGATGCTGAAGGGGGAAGGAGAGTCTGAGGCAGTCACAATTT